GGAGGATAAGTCATATGGACTTTTAGACCGACACGACGTAGCAGGTAATTTCAAGAAGCAATTGAGGTGAAGCCGAGGGGGGACACGACGACGGCGAGAGCGGGAGACCCTATAGGGAGGGTGAAAAGGAGAAGGGGACTGCGAGATGTCAGGGGAGACTAGGACGGTACGGAAGGGGAAGGGGGAGGGGGAAGGAGAGGGGAGAGGAGAGAGAGACAGGGTGAGGGGGTAAAGGGAGAGGGGGAGGGACGGGGGAAGGGGAGGGAGAGGGGGAAAGAGAGACACACATAACTGGCTGTCTCCCATGTGCACCCCCACCAGGATGGAACCTGAGACCGGGGTTAGTGCTCTCATGAGAAATGGAACCCACGCCGTCTTGGTGTACAGACAACGCCCCAACCAACTGAGCCACCAGCCTGGGCTGTAGAGTTTTTGTAAGAATTTACTTGAGCCAAACAGAGGGCCCGCCTGGAAGCAAGACCTGGACAGACTGAGAAAATGCTCCCAGCATCATGGTTTGGGGCTGCGATTGTGCTCATGGAATTAGGAGGCTGCGTGGACGGGGAGGGAGCAAGGCGGTCAGTGACAGGATAGTCAGGCTCCGCTGTCCTGAGGGTGTGCACTTGAGGGGCCTGCAGGGAGGCATTTCAAAGCGTTGCCCTGGGTGCCCAGAAACGGGGCGGGGCCTGCTTAGGACAAAGGTCAGCCTGTCGCTGAAGCAGTCAGGGGCCTGGGAGTGACACCCACCATGGCCCGCCCAGCTGGGATTTGTGAGCCCATCACCTGGGTGGTGGCTTTCCACGGAGCCCCGCTGTCCACAGCAGAGCAGTGCACTGGGTCTCCTGGCAATCTGTGCGCCGTTAGTGACCCATTTCACAGCTGATGAGACTGAGGCTTGAGAGCAGAGGGGATTTTGACCCCCGGGGGCCTGTGGCAATGTCTGCAGACACTGGGTTGTCACAGCTCAGTGGGAGTGCACCAGGGGGCGCCAGGCTGTGCTAGACATCCCAGGACGCACAGGGCGGCCCCAGAACAGGACTCCCCAGCCCACATGCTAATGGTGCCGAGGCCGAGAAGTCCTGCTCTCCGTGATAAAGTTCAGTTGCAGAAGGTCACACAGACCTTCACTCAGCACAGTGTCCGACACAAAGCCCAGGGGACGCATGGCGTCAGGCCCGTGGAAGCTGGTTTGTGGGAGGGTCTTCGCCAGAAGCACAGGCGCCTCTGCAGGCGGCAGGACCAGGACAGACTGAGTGCCCAGCTGCCCTGCAGCTCAGTCAGCACTGCCGGAGGCTCGGAAACCAGCCGCGGCTGGAGGACAGCCACTCCCCCCACCCCACAGGCCACGTAGACTAGTTAGGCTGACATAACAAACAGTCCCCACATCTCAAGGGTGTCAGGCAGCAAAGGCCCATCTCTTGCCCGATCTACATGTCCAGCGTGAAATGGAAAAGTGACTGCTCATTGTAATTATGTGAGGGCACAGTTGGCAAAGGCTCCACCAACTTACTTAAACAATGTTTTTACTAATTTTAGAGAGAGGAGGGGTTAGGGAGAGAGAGAGAACCATCAGTGAGAGAGAAACAACTGCCTCCTGAACCAAACAGACCAGCCGCCTCCTGCACGCCCCCTACTGGAGATTGAGCCGGAAACACTGGCATGTGCCCTGACTGGGAATCGAACCAGTGACTTCTTGGTGCATGGGTCGGTGCTCAACCACTGAGCCACCCGGGCCGGGCTCCACCAACTTTTGATGCCACCATCTCAACATACACTTGTGTTGTCAGTGCCAGTGCCACAGGCTAGCACTAAAGAGCTCGTCCCAGGAATTAAATGCATAGGAACGGCGCCTGCCCCACCCACCTGCACGGCCCAGGGAAGTGTAACCTTCCTATGTGCCTGGAGGGAAGAACAGATGCGGGTGATCCTGAGGGCTCTGCACGACCCTCGCCCAGGAGCAGGCCGCCTTGGGAGAGGCCTGCAGTCATCTCCCGGAGCCCCAGCCCCGCCTGCAGCAGGAGCCGCGAGGCCTGAGGTGGGAGATGCGGCCCAACCTGGTCCCGGAGCCTGCGCTCGTGCCTCAGAGAGCAGAGCAGTGGCCAGAAGGAAGTCACTGTCCCTCATGCACACAAGACCAGAGCCTCAGGACCAGCCCCTGAGAAAAGCTAGTTGCAGGGGGGTGGCCACAGGACTCAGCAGGTCTCTGCAGGAGACGCCCTTCACTTGGTGCCCTGGGGACAAACTGCGCTCCCTTTAGTACTGCAGCCGGGAGCTGTCACAAACCTCTTCACAGCGTACCAGCCGCTAATGTCCAGTCTAAACTGTGCTGAGGCCCGAGACGTCAACAGAGCGAGCTGCAGTGTCTCGGGTGCATCGCCATGGGAGCGGCCCTTAGTCCCTCCCCTCCCTCCACATGCACCAGGATCCTCCTCCAACTCTGGACCAAGAAAAACTGAGGCCTCTGCTCCCAACTTGGGTCGTACTTCCTATTTCTTGTCTGTAGACCTTCCTCTTTCTGGAATGGTTCAGACTGGAAATGAGCCGACCCTTCTGGAGAGTCCTGCGCGCACAGACACACGCACACACACGCACACACATGCACACGCGCGCACACAGGCACACGTGCACACGCATGCGCACACACACACGTCTCCTCCTTGCAGGCTAGTGTGTTGTCCACAACTTCCAAATGCCACAGCCAGGTGGTGCCACATCCTGTGGGTCTGGACCAGCTGGAAGCTGTGTCCCGGGGTTGGCAAGGGGCCCTGGATGTCCCTGGTTCTTGTAGAACTCTGAGCACAGACACCTGAGTCTCCGAGGGTGATGTTATGACAGGGGTGGGGAAGTCATATCCCAAAGCAGCCGCGACAGGAGAGGCTCAGCCGCCTGGACTGTGACAGCTGTGACCACGTGAAGGACTCCTGTGCCGCGCTTGCTGCTCAGTGCTCCCGGCGCCGTTCACCCAGCCTGTGCCATGGGCTCGGTGGTGTCAGTGAGGAGGCTGCTCTTAAGTGGCAGAGGCTGGAACCCAGATCAGCTGGAGCGGGAACCCAGGACTGCCTCATGCCAAAGCTCTTGACCGGAACCACATTGCTATAATGTCTGCCACATGTATGTACACAAAAACACACGCGTGCACACACACACGTGGAAGATGCCTAAATGCTGCTCGTTGCCTGTGGAGCAATCATTGGTGATTGCAGCGCTTGGCTTTTGGTTTAGCTGTTTGCCATCTACTAGTAACGTGGTGGCCTGGGTTCTTTTTAGAGCAGCCACCACAGCAAACAGGTCTGCTCTCATCCCAAGCTGAGCGCAGCTCCAGCAGCCCTGGTCTCCTGGGCTCCTGGGCTCAAAGAATCCTCTGCTTTAGGCTAGTAACCGAGCTCAGGGCGCCCGTCCCGGGCTCAGCCTCCCCCTCTGTGGTTGTCTCCAGGGGAGTGCAACTATGGAGGCAGAGTGACCGACGACAAAGACAGGCGCCTCCTGCTGTCCCTGCTGTCCACCTTCTACTGCAAGGACATCGAGCAGGACCACTACTACGTCGCCCCCGGAGACATTTACTACATCCCCCCCCACGGCTCCTACCAGGTGAGGCGTGGAGGGAGGCCAGCGAGGGCCCAGGGGCCGCCTTGAGCCTCCTGATTTGGGTCCCTAAGCTATTTCCAATATTCCAAAAGCCCAGGAGAGAGACAGTGTTATTGATAATGAACACCGAGTCTTTGGTAGACCAGGTCTCTCAAAATAGGAGGGTTTCCCTGGGGAAGAGGGACGTTAAGGGGAAGCTTGGCAGCGAACAGCCTGGAAGTTGCTACTTGGAAATAAAGGTTCAGCAGGTGGTGAAAGGGGAGGGACCAAAACTGGACGGAAGGATGAGAAGGAGCGAGGGAAACCAGACGTCTGGAGGGAGGACGGAAAGGGGCGTGTGCGTGCCTGTGCATGCCCCCGTTCCCAGCTCAGTGTGAGTCCTGCCCGGGCTGGTCTGACCCAGCCCCGAATGACCTGTGGGGCCCCAGGAACCCACATGTGTGTCACCTGAAGCTTTTCTTCCCAGTCCTACATCGACTACCTCAGGAACCTTCCCATCACAGCCCACCCAGGGGTGTTCGGCCTCCACGAGAACGCCGACATCACCAAGGACAACCAGGAGACCAACCAGCTGTTTGAGGGGGTGCTGCTGACGCTCCCCAGACAGGCGGGCGCGAGCGGCAAGTCCCCTCAGGTAACCGGGCTTGAGTTCAATTTCCCAGGCGGGTTTCCATCTGGGGCAGAGGGCTGTGAGAGACGACCAAGGAGACAGAAACATGGAGGCCTGGCAGCCCTGGCAGGGGGCACAGCCTGGCAGTGGGGTACAGCCTGGCAGGGGGCACAGCCTGGCAGTGGGGTACAGCCTGGCAGGGGACACAGCCTGGCAGTGGGGTACAGCCTGGCAGGGGGCACAGCCCGGCAGTGGGGGACACAGCCTGGCAGTGGGGCACAGCCTGGCAGTGGGGCACAGCCTGGCAGGGGCACAGCCTGGCAGTGGGGTACAGCCTGGCAGGGGACACAGCCTGGCAGTGGGGTAGAGCCTGGCAGGGGGCACAGCCTGGCAGTGGGGTACAGCCTGGCAGTGGGGACACAGCCCGGCAGTGGGGTACAGCCTGGCAGGGGACACAGCCTGGCAGGGGACACAGCCTGGCAGTGGGGACACAGCCTGGCAGTGGGGTACAGCCTGGCAGTGGGGACACAGCCTGGCAGTGGGGTAGAGCCTGGCAGGGGGTACAGCCTGGCAGTGGGGTAGAGCCTGGCAGGGGGTACAGCCTGGCAGTGGGGTACAGCCTGGCAGTGGGGACACAGCCCGGCAGTGGGGTACAGCCTGGCAGGGGACACAGCCTGGCAGGGGACACAGCCTGGCAGTGGGGACACAGCCTGGCAGTGGGGTACAGCCTGGCAGTGGGGACACAGCCTGGCAGTGGGGTAGAGCCTGGCAGGGGGCACAGCCTGGCAGTGGGGTACAGCCTGGCAGGGGGCACAACCTGGCAGTGGGGTACAGCCTGGCAGGGGGCACAACCTGGCAGGGATCACAGTGTGTCCGACGTCAGCTATGAAATTGTAGGAGTCATTGCTAGACCCACATAGACCTATACTCCCTTTACATAATATTTAAAATCCAACTCTATTTGCCTGAAAAGCATTTATTTCAAAACCTGCACACCCGCACCATGAATGGCACCCACCCCATTTTGGGAAAGCCCTGGCAGCCAGTAGACAGCACACGAAGCTACGCAGGTGCAGCTTCTTTCCAGACCCGCTGCTGGTGAGTGCCCAGCGGCGCTCGCGACTCGCCTGGAGGGAATGAGGAGAGGAGGTGGTGACCCAAAGGAGGGCGACTGTCTCACATGGGCTCCAACTGGAAGCACCTGGGCCCATTCTGGGGGCCTCTCATGGTCAGATCGCCATCCTCAATCTACAGACGGGCGACGCGAACCTGGGCCAGGGAGTGACCTGCCTGAGGCGCCCATAGACTCAGAGGCAGAGCCAGAGCCAGGCCACCAGCCCCTGACCCCCGCCGGCCCCTCCCTTCACCACCAGCCGAGCTCAGTGGTGGATTCTGTGTGTTTGGTTCCTTGATTGGTTCATCCTGGGAGAAGTGGGAATCGCTGAGGGTCACAGCCTGGTTGCAGCATCTCCATTTCGGGGTGGGAGTTCCGGGCACAGTGGGAAGGGGGAGGAGTGTGCTCCCAGCCTTAGCCCTGCTCCTCCTCACTCCTCGCTCCTCGGGCCTCACCCTCCCTGGTTGGCAAGGCCCACTGCTCTGGCTGCTCTTGTTTCCGCTGAGGCCTGGCTGCTGCCTTCCCCGGAGTCTGTCACTGGCCCTGCGCGAGGCCCGTTCGTATCAGGAGGGGGTCCTGGAAGCCCCCGGGGAGAGCTGTGGGAGCCTCACCCAGGGCACGCGCAGCGGGGTTCTCAGGGTCAGGGCTGCCCCAGGCTTCCCGCTCTCTGGCTCCTCCAGGAACGAGAATAGGGCGCTCTTTGCTCAGCTCTTTACTTTCTGGGCCAAGGGTGATGTCTTCCCCAAAGTTGGTGTGGGGGTCCTCCCCCAGCCACCCCAACCCCTTCCGCCTGTAGGAACATCCCAGGAGGTCCAACAGATGTGTTTACAAAGACCAAGGTCGACGCTTCAGGTTTACCAGACAAGTCCCGGCCACGGGCCTGTTCCTTATTCACTCTCCTCTGCCCTTTAAGGAAGTGATTGAGGAGCTGACCCAGGACATACTCTGCAAACTCCCCAAGGACTTTGACCTAGAAGTCGTCATGAAGCTGTACCCTGTGGTCTATGAGGAGTCCATGAACACCGTCCTGAGGCAGGAGCTCATCAGGTTCAACAGGTGGGCCAGGCGGGCTCATTTGGGTCCCAGGGGTGGCGGGGTGGCAGCAGTGGAGGTGGACGCTTGATAAGGGGCTGCTGTGCAGAGCAGAGGCAGTGGCTCGTCCCACCATAGTGAGGGCTGTAGAGAGGACCACACCAACAAGTACTGCCCAGGATTAACTCATTCCTCCATTCATTCCCCCCCTCTCTCTCATTCACTCATTCACTCACTCATTCATTTGATATCTGCAAAGTCAGGTGTCAGGTTAAAAAGAATACCAAGCACAAGTAGAAGCAATCATTTCGGCCACTTTCATTGCGCCCTTGGTGCCAGGTACAGCTCCAAGCACCACACATACGTTTGCAACCACCTCAGAGCAGTCGTTTGAAATATGCAGTTAGTAGTCCTTCTACCACCGTTTTATAGGTGGGAAAACTGAGACCCAGACGGGTTAAGTAACTAGTGCAAGGTCACACAGCCACTCAGTGGAAGAGCTGAATTCGAACCCAGGCTGTCTGATTCCAGAGCCTGTGCACTTAGCCATTCAGGGTAAATGGAGCAGGGGAGGAGAGACGTTCATCCCACAGGCTCTCCCGAGAGGCGGGGAAGGGGTGATGGACTGGCATGGGCTCTCTCCTCACTTCTCCGGGTGCTATCTAAGCACTGAGCTCCGGGATTATCTTGATTGATTTACAGTCGAAACTGAAAGGTTCCCAAAGACCGTCCAGGCCAGATGAGGAGACGCCCGCTGCTGCCTCCAAGGTTTTAGTGCTGCAGACGCCATGTGCTGCTGCTTCCATTTGCCTCATTGGTCCTTGCTCAGCTTTTGGGCAGCTCTGACGAAGCAGACCACAAGTCTCAGAAGAGACTTGTACGATTCTTGGCTCACAGAAGAAACCCCGAGGCTAGTTAGCAATTAGGTGGACTTCCACCTGGGAGGAGGCTGGGTGGGAAAGGTGGTCTCAGAAGGATGAGGGAACTAGGAGGATGTCATCTAAGAATTTCTTGGCTCCAGCAGCCTAAGGGTTTCTCTCTGGAGTCAATAAGCAGTTGGCTCTTTGGGGGAACCCAGTGAAGTCTGGGGTGCGAGCCAGGCTGTGGCACCACTGTGGTGAGTCAGGTAACTTGGCACCAGGGGCTGTAGTCCTCATACGTTCAAACACCAGACCTGGTGGCTTCCATCCCTGCTGAGGCCACGGGCTCATCCTTGGGGTGGCAGGGTTTCACAGCCTTTGCCACTCGCTGTGGTCAGACAAGCCAACAAGGTAACAGTAGCCTTATTTTCCAATGATGGTCAGGATGGTCACACAGGACAATACTCGAGCCTCCCTCCTCACTGCCGTTGGGCCTTCACCCAGTGGCCCGAGAAGCCCCGAAGGACTCGGTGACAGTCCAGCTTCCAATTCAGAGAAGCCAGTGTTGTCTCCTGGCAAATGTCCTCTCCGCGGCACTGGGACCTCGGAGCTGGCAGAGCCCCCGTTGCAGGAACAGAAGGAAGACCTTTGCAAGCAGGTGGCCAGTGTCACGGCTCAGGCCTGTGGGACAGTGCCCTGACTCCTCAGCTCAGCAAGTGCGCGGAATGCCTGACCTTTCCATTTCCGTAATGCAAACACCTCGTGGTCACCCCGCCACAATCCCTTTCTTGCATTGGGCCATTCTCGTGTCCACTTGGCTGGGATTTCATCAATCTTTAGAGATGACTGCTCTCTCTGTGCAGGTTCTTTGGCGCTGAGGTGCACTCCCTTGGACGTGGCCAGGCCCTTGTCACAAGGCCAGAGAGAGACAGGCGCAGGCGGCACCTCCCAGGCTGCCCTTCAGCTGCCTTTTCTTAGGTGCGCTTCGTAGTCTATTAAAAAGAACAGCTTGGGCCAAAATGGCAATTTAGATCAAAACCCTTAAAATTACATTACCCTTTGACCTAAAATTTTTACTTTTAGTGAGCAAATCATTATTTATTTGCACAGGAATTGATATAGATGGATATTCCTAGCAATGTTGTTTGCAGGGACAACAATGTAGAAATAATAAGTTTCAGCAATTGGGGAATAGTTAAATAAAATGGAACACCTTACAGTCATTACAAAGGATAAATATCATGAATTGGGAAAAAGATCCCTATACGCTAAGAGAGAAAAACAGATTACAAAAAAGTAATCTAGTACAATTACTTTAAAATTGTTTACATACAGAAAAACCTGGAAGGATTTATGTACATCAGGTTACTTTCAGTGGTGAGACAGTTGGGTGATTTAATTTTTCTCAGCTCTAGATGTTGTCTGCCGTGAGCATACACTAATTGTCTGACGTTTTAAAGGGAAAGTGAGGCAGCCAGGAGTCCGTGTCCTGGGGAAGGAGACTCGGCGGGGCTGAGCACGCCTTTGTCCTCACAGGTTGACCAAAGTGATCCGGAAGAGCCTCATCAGCCTGGTCCGCGCCATCAAAGGGCAGGTCCTGATGTCCTCGGAGCTGGAGGACGTCTTCAACAGCATGCTCATCGGCAAAGTGCCGGCCATGTGGATGGCCAAGTCCTACCCGTCGCTGAAGCCGCTGGGCGGCTATGTGGCCGACTTGCTGGCCCGCCTGACCTTCTTCCAGGTGCCTGGAAGGCGGGGTCCCGGGCGCCCGGCATGCACACTCAGGTGGCCAGGACATGTGGAAAGGACAGACTAGAGGCGGTGGGAGGAGGAGGGGCAGCCGCGCAGCCACCTGGATTCACTCCTGCTGGGAACAGTCTCCCCAGAGTGGAGGGCCAGACGGAGTCAGAGTTCTTGGAAAGGTGGTCGCCTGTGGAGGCAAGCGTAGGAACTATTATAAATGTCACAAACTGGTGGCTCATGGACCAGATTTGGCTATATATTTGGTTTGGCTCCTGGCAATTTAAAATTCTTGAGCTAGCCTGTAAACATTGGATTATTAGACATAAAAAGCCAGATGTTTGTCTTACAGAACCAGGGGGACTGGGCCAGTGGCTGCATGGCCACCCGGCTACAGGGACAGGCTGTGCTCAGCCCAGACCCAGCTTGCCCCTGCATGTCTCTTCAAGCAGAAATGTGTTTCTTTGTGCCTTCATTTGAGTGGGGGAACATAAGCTAGGCTGGAAGGCCGCCTGTGTCAAGGAAAGGAGAAAAAGCGTATTTCTGAATGGGACCCATTTACAGTGCCTGCCTCATGCTGTCTTGGCCTTTGTATGGACTGAGTTTTGTTTCTGTGGCCCCAGGACTGGATCTCCGGCGGGCCCCCTGTGGTCTTTTGGATCTCCGGGTTCTACTTCACGCAGTCATTTCTGACGGGGGTCTCCCAGAACTATGCCCGGAAGTACACCATCCCCATCGACCACATTGGGTTTGAGTTTGAGGTAGGAGCTTCGGCTGGGCGCTTGGGGTCAGCCAGGGGCAGTGCTGCCCGTTTCCTTACTGGTCTGAACGTTCCATGTGCGGGCACAAGTGCTTCTGAGACGTACGAATGAAATACTTAGCATGAACTAAAGTACTTCCAAAGTTATTCCGCCAGAGCCAGGGGATTCCCAAGGCCATGCATCTGTTTATATAAAAGGGATCTTTTTTTTTTTTTTTTTTTTTTTTTTTAAATATTTTATTGATTTTTTACCGAGAGGAAGGGAGAGGGATAGAGAGTTAGAAACATCGATGAGAGAGAAACACCGATCAGCTGCCTCCTGCACACTCCCACTAGGGATGTGCCTGCAACCAAGGTACATGCACACCTCCTACTGGGGATGTGCCCGCAACCAAGGTACATGCCCTTGACCGGAATCGAACCCGGGACCCTTGAGTCCGCAGGCCGACGCTCTATCCACTGAGCCAAACCGGTTAGGGCAAAGGGATCTTTTCAAAGGAAAAATCTGCCACCTTTATGCCAAGAAAAGTGAAAGCATTCTCCCATGCTGTCTATTTAACGTGGCGGCTCCTCATTTGGAGATGATCATGGACTTGGGTAGTCCCTTGCTTGGGGTAAAGTTAAAGGAATTGTCAATGGTGGAGCATCACCCTGTCACACTGGAGAGAAGGGAGCAGAGGGACTGGTGGATTGTAGAATTTTAAACTCTGTGGAAAGATTGATTGAGATCATCTAATCCAGACTTCACAAACTGGTTGTCCTAGGTCTCAACTTAGTTTGTGAATAAACTTAACTCTGAAGACAATGGTAATCCAAAATTAATGCAGTAAAAAAAATAACTGGGATAAACATTAGGAAAATATATAAAATCACATTTTTTAATGTTGAAATGATTGTATACCTAGAAATTCTAAGAGACCCTAAAATCATATATATAAGAATAGGAGAATTTGTAAGGTGACTGGTTAAATATACAAAAATCAATATCCTTTCCTACTCGAGCGATAAGTACTCAGAAGTAGAAATGGGATAAGCATTCCATTGACAATAACAAAACGATTAGAATTTGCGTGATTTTAGAATGGAGCTTATGCTCTGTGGTTCACCCTAACCCCACCACTCCCTGTTCTCCTACCTGAACCATTTGCTGTGTTTACTGGAAGGAATTAGAGTTTTCTACCTCGGAGTCTCATGGTGGTGGATACCCTGGCCACGTACTCAGTTGGTTAGGGCGTTGTCCCAATACACCAAGGTTGCAGGTTCAGTCCCGGTCAGGGGACATGCAGGAATCAATCAATGAGTGCACAAATAAGTGGAACAACAAAAATTGATGTTTCTCTCTCTCTCTTCCCGTCTCTCTCTCTAAAATCAATCAATAAAAATAAATAAATTGTGGTGAACTAGAGCTGGCTCATACCAAGTCCCCAAAGCCAGATGGAACTGATTGTTAAGTAGGTGGTAGCCTGAACTTGGCCATGGTGGGAGTCTGTAGACCACAGAAATTGACCCAAACTACAAGCCACGGCTCTCTCTCTCCCCCAGAGAACTGTTTCTGACCTGCTCTCGCTCTATAGGCCCCGGTTCAGAGAGGGTCACAGCTAGTGCCACGGAAGGTGGCCTCTGACTCCTAATTTGGTGCCTTCCCTACGCCTGCCACATAGAAGGGTGCATGGCCCGCGGACGGCAGACAGGCATTTCATCACAGAAGCTGGCGTCCCGGGAGGGGCATGCTGGGACAGGCGGACAGCGCAGCCAGGCTGCACTTTTCCAAATGGCAGGTACGGCACTCACAGTCCTCTCTTCCAGGTGACCACACAGGAAGCCGCCATGGAGAGCAGCCCGGAAGACGGGGCCTACATTAAAGGGCTCTTCCTAGAAGGCGCTCGCTGGGACAGGAGCACGCAGCAGATCGAGGAGTCTCTCCCCAAAATCCTCTACGACCCACTGCCCATCATTTGGCTGAAGCCCGGGAAAAGTGCAGCGTTTCTGCACCAGGACATATACGAGTGTCCAGTCTATAAAACAAGCGCCCGGAGGGGCGTCCTGTCCACCACGGGCCACTCTACCAACTACGTCCTCTCCATCGAACTCCCCACGGACAGGCCCCAGAAGCACTGGATAAACCGCGGGGTGGCCTCCCTGTGCCAGCTGGATAACTGAGGCATCTGTCTTGACACAGAAATAAAGGGCACTCATTCTTCACTGCCGTCTGGCGGCCCTTTTGTGAGGGGCTTGGTGTGATGGTGATGAGGGTGACGTTACACTGACATCACACTTGCTGTGAGCCCTATCAAGTAGTTATGACTATCATCCTCATTTATGGCTACAGAAACCATGCTACAAGGGAGATTAGTAACATCCCCCGGACCAGACAGCCTGTGGGGGTGCTGATCTTGCCAGGAGCGATGGAGACAGGAGGGGCCGGTCTCCTGCTCAAGGCAGGGAGATTAATAGCTTTTTTTTTTTTCAAGAAACACTTTTTCCAAGGTGGAAAAGAACGTCAGAATGGCTAGAGAGCTGGAGCTGTCTTACTGTTCCAAGTGAGATTGTTAGTCCTGTGAGGTGGAATCCATGAACCTTGCACTGGTCAGGTAAGTCACACTGCAAGTGCAAGGCACTGAGGGAGTTGCTAGGAAACAACTGCATTTTCATTAGTTGTCTAGCTCCCCCTTCAGCAACAAAAGCTGTGGAGGCAGGGACTGGCCATTTCATTCCTCAGGGGTCAAGGGACAGAATGTTTCTGTATAATGGATCACATTTTTATATAACTTAAACATTTCCTCCACTTTGAAAAGAGAGATTGCTGCGAGCTTCTTGGGACCAACATGGCCATGAACATCTCTCCGTGGAAGAGCAGCCCGTTCTTCAGAAGCTGGTGCCTTGGAGCCCAGCACCCGGGCAGAGGTGGCCAGGGGTCATCCCGGCCAGACACGTCAGCCTGCCTCCCAATGGCTCAGCAGGTGACAGCAGACAAACCTTGTCACCAAGCTACTCTTTGCTCTTTAAAAATCTACTGTTGGTAGTTTCCGCGTGAGTGTTGGAAGGACATTTCATTGAGAGAAGGGATATAGGAAGATAGGTTCTGCCTTTAAAAGACCAGAGCATGGAGATCGTATTGTCTTGGAGAGAAAATGAAAAAAAGAAAATGCATCTTTGTAAAGAAGACGAGGCATATAACATTCACTTTTAGGTACGATTCTTGGCTCACAGAAGAAACCCCGAGGCTAGTTAGCAATTAGGTGGACTTCCACCTGGGAGGAGGCTGGTGGGAAAGGTGGTCTACAGAGCAAGACAAAAACTGCAGTCACCCTGAGTTACTGAGACTGCGATGGAGCCAGGAAGCCGTGGTCGCTTGGTCCTCCAAGCACAGGTCACCATTTCATTGGCTGGTTGAGCGCACAGGCCGTGTTGAATGAAAGGTACTTAAACATTAGAAGCACTTCCAGGCAGGGAGATGCTTCCACAGAGACGAGATGGAAGGGGAGTGACTGGTGGGACAGCAGATTCATGCCTCCCAGTCGCGCACTCACTGAATGGCCCACACACCTGCCAGCACAGTTAAGTTTCTCTTCCGCAAAGGCCTGGAGCTGCAATTGTTGAATCTGCACACGCTGCTACTCCCAGGCAGTATTAAACAGGATAATGCTGTATTCTATAGAGCTAGAGTTCTATACACTTTCACTGCCAAACCCCGCAGGACTTACCCGGAGCACAGACAACGACACCGCTGCCCCCAGGAGCCTGGGATAGAATGCCCTTTTTGAGTGAGAGGATCCGTGTGACAAGGGAACCCTAAATCTAGGTGTGGGCAGGAATTACCAACTGCTGCTTCTGTGGGCCCTCACACACACGCAAGCGTAAATCCTTCGTTCCACCCTCTCCTTGTTCCATTTCTGTTTAGACATAACTTGAAAGCCAACTTTGCCCTTGTACATTCTAATTATGTTAAGGCAAAATACTTGCAATGATGCAGTAGGAGTTTCAAGCGAGCCTTTCGGTCCCAAGTGCATCCTAAGTCCACGCTTGAAGATGCTATGCTTTAACGGAGGCAGGGCTTCTCGGCATGTGTGTGGAGGAGCCAGGCATGGGTCTCAACATTTCCAGGGAAAACTATGAGGAACCCAGTGGTGCACTTTTTAAGGGGTGTTTGTCTGGAAATTGGGAGGGTCTAAAGATGACAAAACACACACAAAAAGCCCACTTTTTAAAAAAAGATTTTTTATTTTTAGAGAGAGGAGAGGAGTGGGAGAGAATGAAACATCAATGCAAGAGCATAAACTGGGGATCGAGCCCGCAACCCAGACATGGCACTGCCTGGTTTCGGCAACCTTTGGGTGTACAGGGCAACACCAATCCAGCCACACCAGCCAGGGGGGAAAGCCCACCTGTAAGCAAATCTATAACTTAAAAGAAAGCCTACACTATTCCGAGGGAGGTAGGTTGTTTGCGAGCAGCCATGAGAAACCCAGACACTGGGTGGCTTCTCAGTGTCAGCCGACAGGCCAGACAAGGACTTGCCTCGAGCAGCTTTGCCGTTCTCCAGTCTTCTCCCTCGGGGAGGCCGTGAGGTCTGCAACCGCCAGGATTAGTGTCATCCCCGCAGACAGCAAGGCCCTGACACACTGTGAGCACACGTCATGAGGTCAGTACCAATATTTGGGAGCCTTTAAAGAAGATACTTGAATTTTTGCCCCAATCAAGGAGAAAGGTTTTGCCGTTTGGTTTACATTGAAGACCTAGTTGGCTCATCGTCTGAGAAATAAACTTTCCCTGGATTAGGAAACCTCATCATGAGACTTGAGATAAACTGGTTTGGAAAGTTTCCTCAGTTTCTCCTGGCTTCGAAGTCCCCGGCCTCGTAATGAGGTAAGGCCCATTGGAGGCAGATGAATCTGAGTAAGAAGAGTAAGAATAATGATAATATTAAGAACTATAATCACTGCAGCAGCTTATATTCATTGAGCAGTTTCTAAATACCATGCTCTCTGCTCAGCACTACATCTGCAGAGTCATTAATCCTTACAATCATCTCGGGGCATTATATCAGCATTTACAGATGAGAAAATGGAGGCTTAGAAGTTAAAACTTGCTCAGATTAGACATGAAGTGAGAGAGCGGATCTGAACCTAGATGTGTCTGATGCCAGAGCTGGGCTCTTCTTGGCCATGTTGTCTGCATGGAGGGAAAAGCCACAAACCACAGTGAAATGAAAATGCAAAGGTGAGGGGAAGCATGGTCGCAAAGATGTGTGCGTGGTGGCAAACTGGGACCAGCCTAAACGTCTACCGGAAGGGCTCATTCTCACAAAAGGATGCAAGGCAACCATGCAAAAGAGAGAAGCAGACATGCCCAGAAGCCAGGAAGTAAAGCAAGCAGGCAATAAACAGGACACCCAGGACTCGTGTAGTTTAACATGTTAAGCACCGTCAGTCACTGGTAACTGACACTATACTTTCCATCCAGAAGACAAAACAGGATGGGCGCTTAATGTGTTAAGAAAATGTATGTACATGAGTGTGGAAAAAAAGACTACAATGATATATTACCAAACTATCAGGTTCAGCCAATACAATAAAAATTAAATATTGATAATTCAAAAATTTAAAAACAATCTATACTAATAAAAGACAAAGATTCTAACTGACAGTACCTTTGCTATGCCCTAAGCCATGCCCACCAGCCAATCAGAGCAACTATATGCAAATTAACCCAACCAAGATAGCGGCGGCAGACACGGAGCTGGAGCAAGCAGGAGGCTTGGTTGCCCAGGCGATGGAGGAAGCCAAGCTTCCTGCCTGCTTTGAGCTGGCTGTGGCCTCCGCTCATGGCAACAAAGTTTCAATTATAGCAGACAAATAAATCCCAGATACCTGCTTCCAGCCAGACTCCACTGGGATCTGGGGTAGCTGGGGGTTGTGGCCAGCCTGCAAACAACCATCAGCCCCTCACCCAGGATGGTCACAACCTCATGGGGTGAGGGTCCCCACTGGGGGGCTTAGCCAGCCTGCAAACGGCCCTCAGCCCCTCACCCAGACTGGCCAGGCACCCCAAGGGGGACCCCAACCCTGAAGGGGCTGTGGCCAGCCTGCAAACAGCCATCAGCCCCTCACCCAGGTTGTCCAGGCACCCCAGGGGGGACCCCTACCCTGAAGGGGCTGTGGCCAGCCTGCAAACAGCCATCAGGCCCTCACCCAGGCTGTCCAGGCACCCCAGGGGGGACGTCTACCCTGAAGGGGCTGTGGCCAGCCTGAAAACAGCCATCAGCCCCTCAGCCAGGCTGTCTAGGCACCCCAGGGGGGACCCCTACCCTGAAGGGGCTGTAGCCAGCCTGCAAACAGCCATCAGCCCCTCACCCTGGCTGGCCAGGCACTCCTATATAATAAAAGGGTAATATGCAAATTGACCCTAACAGCAGAATGACTGGTCACTATGACACACACTGACCACCAGGGGGCAGACGCTCAATGCAGGAGCTGCCCCCTGGTGGTCAATGTGCTCCCACAGGGGGAGCTCTGCTCAGCCACAAGCCAGGCTGCCGACTGCCAGTACAGTGGTGGTGATGGGAGCCTCTCCCACCTCCTCAGCAGCACTAAGGATGTCCGACTACAGCTTAGGCCTGCTCCCCGCTGGCAAGTGGACATCCCCCGAGGTCTCCCGGGCTGCCAGAGGGATGTCTGACTACCAGCTTAGGCCCAATCCCCAAGGGAGCGGGCCTAAGCCAGAAGGTGGTCATCCCCCGAGAGGTCCCAGACTTTGAGAGGGCACAGGTTGGGCTGAGGGACCCCCCCCCCCGAGTGCACAAATTTTTGTGCACCAGGCCTCTAGTATGTGTGTGTGTGTGTGTGTGTGTGTGTGTGTATACACTAGAGACCCGGTGCACAAAAATTTGTGCACTCAGAGGGGAGAGGGGGTCCCTCAGCCCGGCCTGTGCCCTCTCAAAGTCTGGGACCCCTCGGGAGATAATGACCTGCTGGCTTAGGTCAGGGCAGGGCCGTATGGGGAGGTTATGGCTCTACCCCGTCACACACAGAGCAGGGCCCGTGGGGGCGGGGATTGGGGCGCTGCACCCTGTCACACACAGAGCAGGGCCGATCAGGGTGTTGGGGCGCCACACCCTGTCATACACAGAGCCACAGGGCGATCAGGAGTTGGGGAGCTCCCCCCTATCAGGCACAGAGCAGGGCTGATCAGGGGGTTGGGGCACCTCCCCCTGTCATGAACAGATCAGGGCGGATAGGAAGGTTGTGGCCCCGCCCCTGTCACACACAGAGCCGAGGGCAATCAGGGGGTTTGGGCGCTGCCCCCTGTCACGCTGATCCCGGTGCCGGGAGGCCTCGCTGCTCCGCTGATTCCGGTGCTGGGAGGCATATTACCCTTTTACTATATAGGATAGAGGCCTGGTGCACGGGTGGGGGCTGGCTGGTTTGCCCTGAAGGGTGTCCCGGATCAGGGTGGGAATCCCGCTTGGGTGGCTGGCCAGCCTGGATGAGGGGATGATGGCTGTTTGCAGCTGGTCACACCCCCTTCAGGGTGGGGGTCTCCACTGGGGTGCCTGGCCAGTCTGGGTGAGGGGCTGAGGGCCGTTTTCAGGCTGGCGGGTGACTGAAGCTCCCAACCTGTCCTTTTTTTCTTTTTTTTTTATTCTGGGCCAGCTTTAGCTCTGAGGCTTAGCTCCAGCTCTGAGGCCTCGGCTGCTGATAGCAGGTGTCTGGTTTGTTTGGGTTCTATAATTGTAACACTGTTGCGGTCCTGCTCACTCCAGCTCTGAGATCCCGGCTGGCTGAAAGCAGGGATCTGCGTTTGTTCTATAATTGAAACAATGTTGCGGTCCTGCTGGCTGAAAGCAGGTTTCTGGGGTTTTGTTTAGCTTCTATATTTGTAACAATGTTTCTTAAACTGCAAGCTCAGAGGCCGGCAAGGCAGGTGGGGGACGTTGGCTTCCTCTGTCACTGAAGCAAGCAAGCCTCCTGTTTGCTTCAAGCTGCCTGGCTGCCAGCCGCAATCTTGGTTGGCAGTTAATTTGCATATCGCCCTGATTAGCCAATGGGAAGGGTAGCGGAGGTACAACTAATTACCATGTTTCTCTATTATTAGATAGGATATATGCCTAAGTGACCATTATGACAGAACGACCAGTCAACCAGTCACTATGATGCGCACTGACCACCAGGGGGCAGACGTTCAAGGCAGGAGCTGCCCCCTGGTGGTCAGTGCAATCCCACAGGCCTGCAGGGATCAGGCCTAAACTGGCAGTTGGACATCCCTCTCACAATCTGGGACCCCTCGGGGGCCTAAACTGGTCGTTGGACATACCACAAGGGGTTCCAGATTGAGAGAGGGTGGAGGCCGGGATGAGGGACACTCTCCCTCTACCCCCGCCCCCAGTGCACGAAATTTCATGCACTGGGCCTCTAGTTTAATACAAAATTTGCTGTGGATTAAATTTATAGTCTCCCTCTTACCCCTGTCCCCCAGTTCCCCTCTTAAGAAACAATTACCAGCAGTTTTTTGTAGGTCAAGGGTAGAAAATTGGTAGTTTCATATGGTTAACCCAATAGTTACAGGGGTCACTTCCACAGGGTGTGAATTTTGACAAATTTCACTTTCTATCTTATGCATGCCTTTAATGTTTGAACTTTATTATTTTATTAACAACAACCTTGTCTAATATAAGAAGAAAATTTTTCCATAAAAAAGTGAAAAGCAAAAGAGAACGCTATGCAACTGAGAGCTGGCTTTCCCTTCTATACATGGGAAAGCTATACACGTAGGAGATAGTCTTCTTTGGCATCTTGGTTGGTCATGATAGGCTGATGGCATGCAAGGAGAGCTTGTTTCCAACATGCCTCCTGCAGTAGCTCTGGCCTTCTAGACCAGTGGTTCTCAACCTTCCTAATGCCGCGACTCTTTAATACAGTTCCTCATGTTGTGGTGACCCCCGATTTCATTGTTACAAATCGAACATAATTAAAGCATAGTGATTAATCACAAAAACAATATGTAATTATATATGTGTTTTCCAATGGTCTTAGGCGACCCCTGTGAAAGGGTTGTTCGACCCCCAAAGGGGTCGCGATCCACAGGTTGAGAACCGTTGTTCTAGACAAACACTCAGCAAAGGATGAGTACCCACCACGTGTTAACCGGGTCACACTTACTGGCCTTGGATACGGGATCTGGTAGTGCAGTCCGATTTCGATCCTAGCTGTGCATTCATCTATGCACTGCTTAATCTGGTCTGTGTCTGTGAGCTGGTGAAAGACAAAACGGGCATTTTTCTAATGCTACACAGAATACAGGTACACATTTTCTGAAACTCTTTTGATTTACCATTCAATAAATTAAATATTGATAATTCAAAAATTCAAAAGAAATCTATATATATAATATATATAAAAGCCTAAGCGACCGTTATAACCGGATGACCACCAGGTAGCTACGATGCACACTGACTACCAGGAGGAAGCTCAATGCAGGAGCTGTCCCCTGGTGGTCAGTGCGCTCCCACAGCCAACTTCCTGCAGGTGGCCAACCTCCCGAGGTCCCTCCCTGTGGCCGGCCAGCCCCCATTGGCCCCTCAGGGGCTATTGGGGCTGGCCAGCTAACCTCCCGGCCCCGATGAGCCTGATTGGGACTGGGCAAGATGGGCCCCCATCGGCCCCGATCACCAGCCAGGCCAAGGGACTCCACCCGTGCATAAATTCGTGCACCAAGCCTCTAGTTTAATATAAAATTTGCTGTGGACTAAACTTACAAAATGCAGTCTCCCTCTTACCCCTGTCCCCCAGTTCCCCTCTCAAGGACAACAATTACTAGCAGTTTTTTGTCTGTCTTCCCAGTGGTATTCTCTGCATATATCAGCATACATGTATACATGTAGGTTTTTTTCTTTGCTTCTATTGAATTTTTTTAAATTGGACATTATTGTAGGAGTCCCCCTCCACCACTCCCTCTTTGCCCACCTGAACCCTCCCTTTTCCTTCACCTTTACCAAATTATTGCCTGTGCCCAAGGGGTATGCATATATGGTTTTTGGGGTTTGTTTTTTTGAGCGAGGGAGAGGGAGAGAGGAATAGAAACATTAATGATGAGAGAGAATCATTGATTCACTGCTTCCTGCAGGCTCCCAACTGGGGATGGACTCGCAATCTGGCCATGTGCCCTGACTGGGAATCGAACCGTGAGCACCTGGTTCAAAGGTCAACGCTCAACCTGAACCACACTGGCTGGGCTGCATATATGTTCTTTAGCTAAACCCTTCACCTTCTTATCTAGTCACCTCCCACCAACCTCCCCTTGGGCACCAGCCAGTCTGTTACATGTATTCATGTTTCTGGTTCCATTTTGTTTGTCAGTTTATTTTGTCCATTAGATTCTACAAATGAGAGAGATCATATGGTATTTGTGTCTCTGACTGGCTTATTTCATTTAGCATAACGCTCTCCAGGTCCATCCATGCTATTACAAAGGGTAAGGGATCCTCTTTTTTAAAGCTACATACTATTCCACTGTGTAAATGTACTATAGCCTTTTTTATCCATTCAAGGTTTTTTTCTCACTTTGTTCTGAATCTTGCTTTTTCCACTAATAAACTGAAGCTCCTTCTATATTTATGCATGTAAAACTGCCCCATTCTTTTTTTTAAAATATATTTTTATTGATTTCAGAGAGGAAGGGAAAGGGAGAGAGAAACATCAATGATGAGAATCTGATCCTCTACTGGGGATCGAGCCCGCAACCCCAGCATGTGCCCTTGACTGGAATCGAACCTGGGACCCTTAGTCCACAGGCCGATGCTCCATCCACTGAGCCAAACCAGCTAGGGCTGCCCCATTCTTTTGAACAGCTGTACCAAAATCCAACATAATTTAACCAATCTTCTCCTGATGGACATTTAGGTTATCTCCAATCTTTGCCATTATAAACAAGTTATGGATCCCTCTAAATTTTTTTGGCTCACATACAAATATATCTAAAAGATAATTTCCTAGAGGAAGAATTATGGGTCAAAGGGTATATGTTCATGCATTTTTAATTCTCATAGATAGTGCCTCTAGATTCAAATACCCAGTGATTTTCAACCTTTTTAATCTCATGGCACAGAAACTAATTAATAAAATTCTGCAGCACACCAAAAAATGTATTTTTTGCTGAGCTGACAAAAAAATACAAAAAAATAGGTATAGTTTTATTTCATTCCTATTGGACAGCTGTTGTCATTTTTTTATTTGGCTATCTAAAGGAAGAGAGGTCAGTGCCCCTGACTAAATAGTCAGGTATTTCATGTTTTAAACATTCTTGCGGCCCTGGCTGGGTGACTCAATTGGATTGTCATCCTATACACCAAAAGGCTGCAGGCTCAATTCCCAGTCAGGGCACATACCTAGGTTCTGGGAGCATATGGGGAGACAACTGATCAATGTTTCTCTCTTACATCGTTGCTTCTCTCGCTCCCTCTCTCTAAAAATCAATAAAAATATATCCTCAGGTGAGGATTAAAAAGAAAAAAGGATTACTAAAAATTCTTGTGGTACCCTCGTTGAAAATTGCTGCTCTAAGGGGCTGATGGATTTAAATTCCTTCAAGCAGCTATGAATCACATTCCCACAGCACTTCTTCACATCCTCGCACGTTGGTCAAACTTTAAAGTAACCCAATTGTCTCAGCAAGTGCTGCTAGACATTGAAGAATGATTCATCTCTCTCTCATTTTAAACTGTGAATTGCCTTGCTCATTAGTAAGGGGAAGAAATGGCTTCTGAAATTCTAAAATGGCCAAATTGTAGTAGTCCAGTTTCAAGTAAAAGAATGACAAGTTCATTCTCAGCAACAGAAAGCTGGTGGTGAAGGGGAGAGAGCCTCTCACTCTGAGATGCCGTGAGTCAACGCGGGCTGCTAAGCAGTTGCCAGTGGCCTCAGAGCCGAGCTGGGCTGCAGCAGCCCCACAGGACACCACAGGGAAGGCTGGGCTGCGCGGCTTGGAAAGCCCAAGTGCCTTTGTGTCCCGTGGCACCTCCTGGAGCATGAGAATTGCAGTGCACAGACCCCAGGGGAGTCCCTTGGGCAGAGGCTCAGCTTTTTGATCTCTGTGCTTCTCAGAAGCTGTTGCTTTGATGCCCACCTTGGGAACATGTCCATGTCCCTTCCCATTTGCCTCTTAGGATTCAGAGCAATTCATGAGATACCTTTGGATTATTATCAAGCTCTTACAGCAAGTGGTTACAAGAAACTACGTATGTCTGTCTGTAATGAGCAATGGGGGAGAAAGAAAGCCCTGACAGAGCTATGGCCACGGGGCCGAGGGCGCCTGGGCTCCAGCTTCCATCTGAACAAGTTTGGGTTAGAGTTCTCCAAATTCCACCTTTCAGAGGCTGCCTGCATGATTTGATCTCCCCACCACCAACACTAACACTAAACTTTTTCTTTATGCCCTGGCTGGCTTGGCTCAGTGGACAGAGCATCGGCCTGTGGACTGAAGGGTCCCAGGTTCAATTCTGGTCAAGGGCACATGCCCAGGTTGTGGGCTCAATCCCCAGTGAGGGGTGTGCGGAAGGCAGCCAATCACTGATTCTCTCTCATCATTGATGTTTCTCTCTCCCTCTCTCCTTTTTCTCTGAAATCAATAAAAGTTTTAAAAAAATAAAAATAAACTTTTTCTTTAAATGGACTCTTCTAAGCATAGTAATTGTGAAAGAACCTGATACTCTATTTTCTTTCTATACATAGGAAAACAAGCACATATGTTAAAATGAAAAGCCCATGTACCTCCCCCAACATAAAAATCTCACTTCTGCACCGCCATGCACACATGCGCCCTCCGCCCCCACCACACTGGGCCCATGCAAGCAGTGGCAAGTGAGGGACTGATGGCTGCCATACTGGAAACCCAGGGTCTTAGCAGTCCTCAGGGCACGTGCTCTTGTGGCACCCCCAGCACCAGGCTGGGCATTGTGAGGCCATGGTCCCTGCCTTTACTGCCAGAGAGGACAACCTGAAACCTAAAGCTACAGAAAGGCACAGTGGTGCACAATCAACTACCATATAGGAATTCAGGACAGGGCTCATCCTGGGGTCAGGTGAGAGCAGAGAAACTGAGGAAGGCCTCCTGAAGGCAAATTGAGTCAAAGTATTTGTAACGCTGGTCAATCTATGACACCCACAAGGCAGGCCCATGAGCGACGCTCCGGAGTGTAAGGCACTGTATTAAGTTCATTAAATACACTAATAATTTCATTATACACAAAGCAGACATTTTGAAACGATGCAATAAAAATAAACAGAAACAGCACTTGCAGTATTTGATTCCATTCCTCCCAGGGCAGTTTAAGGACCTTGGGGCTGCGTGTACGCTGGTGTGGCACGCATGGTGTGCACCAGGAGCAGAGTGTGGAGAAGCTGGAGGGTCACATGACCATTATACTTGGGGGAGGTCCTTCAGGTGGGTGGTAAAAGGCCAAGGCTGGGTGTTCACATATGGGAGCTGGAACCACAAGGCAGCTGCCGGTCCTGGGCATCAGCACATACGCTGACCTTCAGAGCACCTATGGCTGGCAGCAGGGGTGTGGAGAAGGCGGGTCAGAAAGGAGACTGAGGCAGGGGCCAGAGTGGATGAAATAAAGGACATTTCATGAAGGAACTCAACAGCATGGGATCCGTGAGATCACGCGGAGGCGGCCAGAGAGGTTGGGAGCTGGAAGCCTCGCCCGTGCGCTGTGCCAGGCCGTCTTCCTGAGGAGCTCCAGGTGATGCCTGAGGGCTTCCTGGGGTGACTGAATGGAGCCCCTCAGAAGTGGCTTCTGGCCCTGGGGTCTATCGGGCGTGCAGTGCTATTAGACGGTTCCTAGGCACTACTGAGCCCATTCTGTGGGCCCAGAGGGCAAGCTCACTCTGCTGGCCAGAGGCTTGAGTGCAAAGCGAGGTCATCAAGGGCATCCTGTGCTTAATTCTAGTCTCTTCCCTCAGAATGGGTTTACACTGGAGGCTCTGCCTAGTTTATGAACTGAAAAACAAAACAAAACCGTGTACCCTCCCACGGGAGTGGCCCACAACAGGCGCAGGGGTGCAGGGTTGCTCCCGCCGGAACCCTGCCTGCGGCTCAGCTCGCCGACGGGCCTGCTGCGGGTGCTGAGCCAGGCAGCCCAACCGAGACCGAAGGCAAGTGCAGGGGAGACCCAGCAGAGCCTCCACGGCTGCCCGCCGCGCTCTGCCGCTGTGACTGCTGTCCTCTCGACTTTAGGACAGAGAGAAATAGACAAACACAAGCAGCTACTCTCCTTGCCATCTCCGATCTCCGATCTCCGATCTCCGACTGAGGCTACTCACATTTTTGTTTTTCTGGAACAGCGTCCTGGCTTCATGGCGGATGTACTGTTTTTCTCTCGCGGTGTCTTCCACCCGCCCTGACGCTGCCTGCCACTGCCTCGCAAGCCTGAAGATTCGGCGGTACAGGCCAAGCACTTCTTGTCTTGTGGCTGTGGTCATCCTCGCACTCACCGAAGTAGAAGAGGGAACATTTGCATGAAAACCCCACCTGAGAATAGGCAGCTAGAAGAGGTGCATTTTTAATCAAGCTCTTTCGACTAAAATTGCTTTCTCAAGCAAGCTGCTTGGTGGCACTGCTGGGCGGGCGCTGGCCTGCCCATCACCGCGTGGCTGAGGCTGCTCCCGGGCTGTTTCCTACGACAGCCATTTTCACAAACATGGCAAAACCGAAACGCACATTCACTATTCTTTAAGCTGGAAAGAACACTCGGGACGAGGCTCTCGGTGTGTACGCTGGTAACTTACACCACTACCCTGGGGGCCAAGGAGCAGGCACATTTTTAATAACTGAATTTAGTGCAGGGGCTGCTAACTCAAGTCCTTCCAGGCCCGGCCGGCAGGGAACGTGGCTGGCGGGGCAGTGGCCAACGGAGAGGACATGCCCCCTTAAAAAGGCCGCTTCTCAGCCCGGCCAGTGGCTGCCACGTAGAAACAAGGGCCTGGCGATGCCAGATCTCCGGATAGCTTACTAGGTGACCGTCCAGATTTTTAAAAGATGAAATCTCAAAAAAGACACGAATTCATTACTTTGGAAAATGTGAGTACCATGAAGGCCAAGCAAATGGTGTCTGCAGGCTCAGTTCCACCTTAGTTCATCATAACCTTGTTGAAAAGATTTCTTGTGCTGTTGGTCTACGTCCTGTCCACAGAACTGCGTGTGCAGAGAACTAAAAACCTCGGTGATGACGGAAGTCCGTGGCCCCTCTGGGTTTTACTCTGAGACAACAAGGTTTTATGTTGAGAGGCCCTGGCTAAGACCCCACCTAAATGCATTCCCTAAAGTAACTGTGTTTTAAAAAATTCCTGTTAACATCCTGAAATATTCCAGACACACAAAATGATACAGAGAGTAATATAATTAACAGCCACAGATTCACAGTGAACCTTAAAGGATAAACTGTATAGCTGAAACCCTCACTGTCCCTCTTCCAAGTCAAATTCCCGTTTCTCTCCTAGAGGGAACACTAGCCTGACTGGTCTATCTCTCACACGTTTTTGTAGGCAACGTGATATAGTGCTGCTCAGCAAGTTTTAAAACTGTATCTCCATGTGCATGGGCAAGGCCTGGCCTTCCTGTCCCTTGCTTTTTTGCCCATTTCTGTGAGACCCATCATGCTGTTCCTTTAGCTCTAGCTCATCTGTTCTCACTACTGCCATTCGGCCCACTGTCTGGTCACCCTGTGTCCACTCGCCTGCTGCTGGACGTTAGGTACTTGCTTCTCTTACTTGGGAAAAAACTTCAGCCTATTTCTCTGCTATTAACTTTAAATCAGAGAAGAAGGCCCACGCCTGGAGGATCCCGACTAGCCAGACTTAGGGCATGGACCCTACCCCGCCTCTAACACGTGGAGCTGAGAAGAGGGAGAACAGATCAGAGAGGGAGCACGTGGCCAGGCACAGGGCCTCCTCTCCAGGACCCTGGCTTTCCGGGCAGCTCACCAGGGGCAGGGAGAGGACGATGGAGACAGTGTGCTAGGCAGCCCTGGGTCTATGAGAACTTCGGCAGCTAAAGAATGTAGATGGGAGCTGGGAGGAGGGGTCGGCCCAGAAATTCCAAGTACTTCCAAGGAATTCACCTCACAGGGCACCTCTCTTTCAACTGTGACTGCCCTTCCTACTCATCCCGACCCTGGCGACTTTTCCTGAGCAACCAGGACTGAACCAAGGCTTAACTGTTTGATGAAAAGCTTGAAAGCACAACTTCACCAATTCAAGTTAACAGGACTGAGGTTAAGAGCCGACACCAATTCTGACGTCCACGATGCTTCAGAGAAATTGCTTAAAAGGAATAAAAACCAGGAGAGAACATCATGCTTTGTGGCCGATCGTTAATAAAAACCCAGAGGAGATGATGTCGTCTTCCTGCTAAGGAAAGGGTTCTGAGTGCTGGCTCTCCCTAAAATCCCGTGTTTTCCTGTGCACGTCTGGGAGTCAGCTCCTGTGAGAGGCAGGGCGTCTGTAACTAACATCTACTAAAGATGCCTCACCTCCCTGTTAGCAGGACCTGGAGGAGAGAGCCTGGCATAGGAACACCGAGCATCTCTGCTGCGTCTGAATTTAATTGCTTTCCTTCTCTCCTCTAAGAACCTCAGCCCGAGCTCTTACTGATCATACACCAGCACCTGACACAGGACCCTGGAATTAGGGCACTCCCGGTAACAAGCAGAACAATTGGTACTGAACAGGCCTATTTTCAAAACACTGGAATGTTTAAGTGCTGGGAAAACTAATCCTGAAAGGGGGTAAGTGATGTCTCCTCTCCAACATCAGTTGACATAGAAAGCCTACATGTTACTGGACTGAAGGGGTCCATTTACCTACATGCATCAAAGCCCAATCCAACGGGAACAGGAGTTTGCAGCAAAGAAAGTACGTACAGGTTTACAAGTGAGGAGATGTGCCCAGCCCAGTCACAGGCAATTAATGCTAAAACACCTAGCCTCCCAGTGGCTCCCAGGAAATGGGCTACAGGAAAAGGTCATGATCATGGTGGCTGAAGGAGTGGGAGTGAGCGCCCTACTCATCACTGTATCAGGTCCTGTCTGGTTTCATGAGGGTGTGGTCCCCATGGTCTTACTGTTTCATGTCTTGCGACTGAAACCTATCTGAAGTCAAGGTGCTATCTTGAGCTTGACCAACATTCTGTGGTCAAGAGACCTCAGGCTTTATTCTTAAGACAGTTGGATACTGACCCTGGTGTCCCACGGGTTCAATTATTAAGGAAAGGAATGGATGGAGAGGAATAAGAAAGGGTCATGTGAAAGAAATGGGAGTTTCTGGGTGGCTCAGTTGGTTGGAGCACCATCTTGTACAACAAAGAGGTTTTGGGTTCAATTCTCAGTCAGGGCACATACCTAGGGTTGTGGGTTCAATCCCAGTACACATATGAGAGGCAACCAATCAATGTTTCTCTCTCCCTCCCTTCCTCTCTCCCTACAATCAATTTAAAAAAATATCCTCAGGTGAGGAAGGAAAAAAAAAGAGGGTTTCTGTGTGGATAGAAATTATGAAGATTTCCCAAAAGAATGGTCTACGGTTTCCCATGGTGTTCTATTTAAAAAAAAAAAAAAAAATTTATTGATTTCAGAGAGGAAGGGAGAGGGAGAGATTAAAACATCAATGATGAGAATCACTGATCCCCTGCCTCCTGCACACCCCCTACTGGGAATCAAGCCCGAAACCTGGGCAAGTGCCCTGACTGGGAATCCAACTGTGACCGCCTGGTTCAAAGGTCGATGCTCAACCACTGAGCTATACCAGCTGGGCCAGGTGTGTACCGTTTACAAGTCTGGCTTACCATTTCCTTCTAACTCTTGTGCAAAAAAAAACAAGGAAAAAAATGCCTCTGTTGTTCTTTCCTTATTAGAATCTTTCAGTTCTTTGGAGAACTCATGTTCTTTCTTATCTTAGGGTTACGTACCTGTTATTTCTAGAAGGCTCTCTCCTGACCCCCTCCCATGTACCTTACCAACCCCTAGTCATCCTTTAGTTCTCCGTGAAAACATGGAGGTCTCGGACGATCTCTCCCCCTCCCCTTCTGCCTCACCATATACGCCAGATCAGGTCTCTCTGTTGAACTGTCCCTTGGCACCTTGTATTTCTTCTTTGTAGCAGTGATCACTCAAGAAATGGCCTGTCAATGTCTGTCTTCCCCCACAGACTCTAACCTCTATGGGGACAGTACCACATGCATCGTATTCACTGCTGAATGCTCGGCACCTGGCAAGGTGCAAACTGCTAGTCAACAAATGTCTGCTGAATAATGAAAACCTCATGCTATGGAAGCTTGAGATTCTAGAAACATCATCAGCCATGTATAAAAAATTTTTTAAAGTTCTTATCCTTTTGATTTATATTTGTCTCTGTTCCTAGAAAGTAAGTTGTTTAGAAAAAGTACCTTTTCCCTAGAAGTCTTCCTTCCTATGGATTTAATGGCTAGACACCAACATTTATTCCTCCAACCATCACTGACCTCTCACTGATGCAGAACCGACAGCCCTTTTCCTTCCTCTCTAGTTTCCGGGGTTGATCTGATGCAATGGGGTCTGCTAGGATTTCCTGCAGGACATCAGAAATATGAAGTTGTTCAGCGGTCCACAACTGAACTGCAGTATGGACTGCCTGTGAAGTCTATTCTTACATAATTTTTACAGTAAAAATTTTGTAACTTTCATTCTTATGATTGACTAGAGGCCCAGTGCACGAAATTCGTGCATGGGTAGGGTCCCTAGGCCTGGTGGCGATCAGGACCGATCGGGGCCTCCTGCCTGCCCACTGGGGCCTTCCTTCATTCCTCGCTGTCCCCTGGTGGTCAGCGCACATCATAGCAAGTGATCAAACTCCCGATCTCTGGTA